GCTAAAGAATTTAAGCATAACCTGAAGTATAATATTCAAATGATTAAAATTATATCAGTTATTCAAAAATGTATTTCGATTTTGAAATATAAGTTGGAATTTTTTAAAAAAAGTAAAAAAAAAACATAATGCTGATTTTAGTAACAACTGGCAGTTTAGTTGATTCGCATAATTCGTTACGTTTAGATACAACGGATGATTTATCGAAGCTTAAACAGGTTAAATGTTATTTTTATTTCTTTTTCTAAATTTAATTATTCCTTAATTATCTTTTAAATTCCTAATTGATTGCTGTAAAAATTAGTTCTTGTTTGAATGTAAAACTAATATCACTTTAAATTTATGCTTCATTATCTTTGCTAACTGAATTACCTGTGGTAATTTAATGAAAGCAATAATTAGCACAATTAATATAATAAATTTTAGCAATTGTATCAAAGGTATAAAATAATGAAATATTACAGAGATTAGCAAAAAGTGCGGAAGAAAATATAGCAAGCAGCTATTTCAAACCATTCAGCAGGGATGGTCTTGTCAATAAATACAGAGCTGATCGGAATCGTACCATTGGTAACATTTCCGGAAATTCTCATTACAGCTTTTCGTTCTTCAATTGCTTTTTCTTTTTTTTCCCCGCTAGAAAGTGTTGGGTGAACGTTTAAGAAATCTCGTCTATTGTTACCATCGGATAGAATAATTTGGGAGATGTGACATTACTAGAAAATACGGTAGACCAAATATTCGTTTCAATTATTGCTAATTCGATAAGCCTATTAAGCCTGATATACATTCCAAAATGAAAGCTATATCGGATAATGTAAATGTCGGAAAATAATATATGAAAATTATACCCAAATATTTCACCTTTTTTTTTTCTTCCAATTATATCGTTTTCATTTCCATTTTTTTTTTTTTTTTTTTTTTTTTTTTTTTTTTGTCTTATTTTTCAGATTTACGACTGGATAAATATTCATTAGGAAGGAAACAAACATGTAATGATTTACTGAGAGGTGTTGTATATACGGATGATATCTATGAGAAGCCTTCTCTTTTCCGGAAACCACAACGTCTTGAAGCACTTTCAGTGAAATCAAAATAAGCATAATATATTTTTGAATGCTTCAAATCATTTATATTTAGGATTTACAGATATTTTTTTTTGTCAAATTTAGTTAAAATTAATTTATGATAGGTGACAAATATATGACAGAAGATTTGAGTTATCTTGAATCGTTTTGTAATTTCATTGCTCAATAAATATGTCATAATTTTTGGAAATTATTAAAACTTTGAATATCACTTTTTCACTCTCTATCTTTCATTGACCTTCTTCATCAATTTGTTATTAATATCAATATCATATATTTAATAAATTTATATTTAGTTTAGTAATTGGATATTTTTAATAATTTATGTAAAATAATAATCCCAGTTCCTTCATCGTAAATGCATTTCATTTCATTTATGCATTTGCTGTCATCGATTGCTCAATCATTTTATGGTATCATCTATGATATTGAATAAATGGTGCAGTATAGCAGTAGCCAACAGCAGGACAATGGTCAGTCATTTGTCATTTTCATGTTGGAGAAAATGAGGAAAATATCGGGTGAAGCTATTGTAAATTCCTTTATCCGCCTCCAATACATACATAACTATGTGTTACTCAATGTACTTTAACAAAATTTACACTTCCTGATATTACTCTTATCTCCGTCATCTTTACCGTACTTACGCCATGTTATGTATTAAAAGTTCTTTGTTGAAATTTTATTAATTACAGGTATTAGTGATTGAAATAATTACTAAATGAATATTTATTAGTAATGAGTTTAAGGTATTTACCATAATGCTAACCGGAAAATTATTTCCCCGGAAGAAGAATGGGAAGATGTATTAAAGCAATAATTCATTAACTAAATGAGGATTAGGGAACAGTTGTTCGATTAATGAGTACATTCATTTTCGCATATTTTAACCTAATTTTGCTTTTTCCAATTCATCAAAATTTGTTTTTCTTTTTTATTCTTTGATTTCTTTCATCCTTTCCTCACTTTTGCACTAACTCTTACATTTTCTTTTCTTTTTTTTTTTTTTTTAAACTTTTTCAACAGGTAAGGTTAAATTCTTTTAAAGTAACATTATGATAATGTGAAAATTTAAATGTAAGAATAGCAATGAAGAATTTTTAATAATTAATTAGGCGGAATTATATTAAAAGTTGGAATGTTGAAGGAAGAATATGAAGTTTATTATGTATATTGGCGCCATTTTTTTTTTTTCATTTCTCTTCATTTCAAATAAATATTTAACCAAATTAATGCATTGCCATTGTTCAGCGCATTCCATTGGTGAGTTAAAAAAAAAAAAAAGAATTCATACAATGATATTATTTTTGTCACTTATAGAGGACATTTTGGCTTCATGCCCATTATCTAAGCATTTCTCATTTTGTCATCGATTAAAATCGGCAACAATTTTTGCTCGCAGGTTAAAATGATTGTCTGAAACATTTTCTATTTAGCTTTAAAAAAATATTGTAGAATTTAACTTTAACGTTTTGACATACACGAAACACATACACACACACACACACATGCACACACACACACACACACACACACACTACGCACATATACATACATACTACACATGTACATACATCTATGCACATGCATACATACACATATACATACACACACACACACACATAAATGCATTAGCATGTCACATACAAACATTTGACATAAACATGCATATATACATGCAAAAAATATACTTATAACCATACACATACATACAATTATATACAACATAATCACATGCTTAAATAAACATATATTAATCATATCCATAAATATATGATTTATATATATATATATATATATATATTTATATGAATAAAATAAATAAATAAATGAATGAATGAATACACACTTATATACATATATACATGCATAGATGTACATACATTCACAAATATTTTGATTTAAAATAGGACAGAGAAGTTGGATTTTTGTGGATTCTGAATGCTTGAAAATTTGATCGTGTCAATGAAAATTCCTTGAATTAATGAATTTTCCATTCATTCCTCTTGTTCTCAATGAAATTTCTCTATTGCATCTCACATTCAAACTATCATCATCATCATCATCATTATTATCATCATCATCATCATTATCATCATCATCACGACCATCGTCATCGTCATCATCATCGTCATCATTATCATTATCATTATTCTCTTCTCAATTGTTCACATTTTTCCTGCCTATTTCATCTTTTTCCCTCTTTTGGCTTCCTTTTCTCTTCCTCTTTGTTGACACATTTGTGTCTTTTAATATTAAACATTTTCGATTAACATTTTTCGGATGTCCGTACACTTCATTTTATCATATTATTGCATCATATAATTTTACTACTTTAAATAATCACCTCTAGACTGAATCCCTGTTTACAGTTCTGTTACAGTTATCATCTCTAGACTGAATCCCTGTTTACAGTTCTGTTACAGTTATC